TGTATTGTCATTAACTTCTACCAGATACAAAGCAGCTTTCCTCTAAAGTATTAAAAGTATTTTCTCTGCCAGTTTTTAATCTTCTTGACAGTAGAATATCTGTGCTTGTTTATCTCTGTTCCATAAATCACTATTTCTATGGGGAAAAGACCAAACAATAACATGCAGTACATAATTCCACATAAAGTAGTTTTCCTGCTCTCTAGAGAGCTCATAAATATAATGAGACACTGTTCCCAGGGTACCCTGTCCAGAGAGATCTGTGAGGACTTTTCCCATGTTGAAGTAGGACTGTTCTGACAAAGTTGTTTTCCTGCTCAGACTCTGGATAACGGTTTTTGATTAAGACCCTGTAACTGCTCTTGTGCCTCAGCTCTGTTACTTTAGTATGGTCCTATTTCTATTTATTTTTAGTGTTTATTTTGTGCTGCCCTAACCTCTTGAGTTTTCAACATGCCACAGAGGCTTGTATTGACAAGGAGTAACTGCTCTGTTGAAGGAAGAGGCTGGAAATACTTGGATAGTGTACTGTTGCTTTGAGATCAAGACAGTATTCCTGAAATTTAGTTCTGATGGTAGTTAGTGCCAGAAGCTTCTGGACAAAATTGCAGAGAAACTAAATGTTTGGTAGCAAATGTAATAACCTACTCTGAGGGAAAATGTGTTTAATTCTGAAATATGAAGATTTATTTGGGGGAAAAATATTAAGCTTTTGGTGTTTGGCACCAAGAAGGCTCTTTGTCCTGGTGAGATGATGCATTTTATTTTGACCACTTCTAGATGAGAGTAAAAAGTAGTCTGGAATTGATTTTTCTTGTTTATTTTTTTTTCTCCTTTTGCTGTTTCTCTATGTCATATCCACCTCAATGAGCTAACTTAACTAAAATATTAATAGCACTGCAGTAAATGTGATCCTCAGTGAAAAGCTTAATGTCAGCATTTAAACAACTCTGCTCTTGCTTCACAGAGATAAATGCTGAAATTTGGCATATCTGAGGTAATGCTTTGTGGATTGCATTAAAGTCATCCTTCTTGTAACAGCTTCTGAAGCTTGCATGTTACATTAAACATGTGGCACTCTTTATAGCTGGTCCCTGCTTGTAATAACACTGGAGCTGATATAGGTTTGCTTTTAACTTCTTAAAATCACTAAAGAAAGTGGAAAGAAAAGTGTAATTTTATCCCTGAAAAGGCATTCATAGCAACTTCTAACTAGTTAAAAGCTACCATCAATACTATTTGGCAAACTGTTTTTGGAGGAACTAGCTTCTATTCACTCTACAAGCCTGTACAAATGATGTGGTGTATCTGCTACCATTGTTTGGAAACTGTTCTGTACTGAGGTTTTTGGTAAAGGTGATATTTTACCTGGATACTCATATGTACTGTAGTACTACTTATTCCCATTTCTTAAAATTTATGTATGTGCACTTAAAATGCCTGTGAAGGGAGGTGAGGGAGAGAGAGAGAATAATATGCATGTTCCAAGGCACTCTCCAGTCAGCTAAGACAGACATGGAAACAGACCTGATTACAATCCAAGTCCTGTCCAAAAAAATCTGTTGTTCTGTTGTTACTTGTTAAAGTACAGACACACTTCTGAAGACACTTTAGGGAGTGTCCTAAATGCTGCCTCGTCTAGGAGACAAAAGTGGGTTTGAATCAGTGTTTACAGTATCTGCTATACTTAAGCTAGATTTTTTTTTTTTTCCTTAATTCCCTCTTTTAAATCTTATTACAGCTGCCAGATACTGCAGCATGTTAATTGAAGAAGGTGGTTTACAGCACTTATACAACATCAAGGAAAACGTCCAGACTGATCCACATGTTCAAAGGATTGCTATTGCTATCTTAGATAGTTTGGAAAAACACATTATGCGTCATGGGAGACCACCGCCAGGTAGAAAACAGCAACAAAATAAACCAAACTGAAAGCTGCAGGTATAGGATTGTAAAGTATTGTCTCTGTAATAATCCTTTCTGATGTGTGTGTAGTTGGAGTAACTTGTAATATAGTGGTCACCATTAAAGTGATTTGCCAATAATTGTGGTACCCAGCACCATGTATGGTAACCCTTGGTGAATGTCAACTTTAATGGCAACCGCATATGCAACTTCTAAAGGGTCACTGCTTGAGCTGGTCACACCTGTAGGATTACTGCTGGCTACAAAGAGATGGGACTTGTACAGATCAATATGCACATCTGGAGAAAAAAAAAAAAAAAAAGACTTCTAGGAATATCTTGTTTTGTGACTTCTGGGAGAGAAATTTATTTCATCCCTATGATTGCTGTTCATAACACTGTTTACCAGTTTGGTGTTTGAATAGAACTGTGTGTGGCTGTGAGATTCAACACTTTTACAAATTAAAACAAAAGTACATGCATGCAGGTTACAGTGAGACTTGTAACTAAGGCGACCAAAATGTCCATTGTCTCATAACCCTTCTAAACACAAATGGGGTCTTCAACTTCCTTTTTCTTTTGCCTGCGAGCTGTGTTCTTTTGTTTTCCTTACTGCTAGAACAATATCTTTTTGCAGTTCAGCTCTCCTCAGTCCTCCTACTCTTAGTAAGGTGGGGACCAGCATTGCATCAGGGAAAGGGGAAACCTGCTAAATTAAAGCAATAGAAACAGGATTAAAGTGAGACAAAATCCTAAAAAGACGAACTAAGCTTCAGATTTGAAACTCAATAACAAGAATGGCGTTTTGTTGTTGTTTGACTGCTTTTGGTTGTGTGTGATATCTTTCTTTTGTTTTTAGAATACTGATAGGCAAAGGAGAAGGCTCTTTAGAGCAAAATGCTGACTTGTCTTCATCATGAAGGGGATTGCATGTCTTGATAGGAGGCCCAGGATATTTGGTCACCTTATTTATAAAAGACTAATGATTGCTTTGTTGTTTTCTGTAAATATTCTGTCAGTATTGTGCAGTGAATTATACTTCCAAGTCATCACAGTACAAAATATCACCAAGTGTTCTATGTAAGCCCTGTGTCAATTGCATTGTTTTGTGGGGAGTGAAATTTTACATGAAGATGCTAACTGTAATAACTTTTTCTTTCTTGGTTACCTATGGGTTTTAAATGATGTGTTGAATGAAACATATTGCACAGCATACAGATACCTGATAAAATACAAGTGACGGAAGCAAACTGCATGTCCATTCAAATTCAATTTAATTTCAGGTATTGTTTTTGTTTATCTGGTTAGTCTCCATATTTCCATGGCAACTGATTGATATTCAGAGAATCTTTTGTAAATATATTGGTAACTGAGTTTAAAAACAAAACTTATGTTTGGTAGCTTACTAGAAGGGATGGCCTCTTCATGATGACCATATTTTACTATTTTTAACTCCCTCCCTCTCCCAACTCCCATCCTTCAAATAAAAACATCACCTCTAATCTTCAATAATCTAGTTATTGTGTATTTCAGCAACTTCAAAAGGTACTGATCCAGTAATTTAATCAATGTTGTGTAATTGCTTTTTGTATGAAGGTATAATTTGGCTAGCATCATTTTCATGTGTGTATCTGGTTAAATACAGTTTTATTGATTTGGACAGAAATTTGTTGTAGTTCTGAATTATGAAGGTGGTTTAAAAAAAATGAAAAAGGGCCTGCAAGCCTTTATCTACCACCCTTCTGAGATGTCTACTATGGGACTTCTGTTACAAAATTTCCGTTACATGAAATAGAACATAAAACTTGTCAAAATTGATGTTAATAGAATATAAATCAATTGATACAAGATTTTAAAATAAAGATGACAACTGTCCTTACATTACCGGTTTTTCCTAGTAACAGGAGAACTTGCTGAAACATCTTAACTAAAACTCGGGACACACACACACACACACAAAAAAAAAATATTGATACTATGTGCAGCACAAACTGCGTGTGATACTGACATCAGTCCAGATGCTGAAGATGTCACTTCATGAAGTTCTGCAACCAGGAAATATAGACAGTGTAAATGATTTTTCCATACCCTTTTTGTTTTGTTCCCACATGCTTCAGGCAAACAAACACTGAACAGAGCTAAAAAGTATGATTGCCTTCAAGGTATAAATCCACTAAATATACTTGCATGTGCCAGTTACAGAAAGTTCACATTCCTGTGCAGCTTCAGGAGTTCCTGCCACAGTAATTTTGGAAGCAACTTCCAAACTCTTGTATTTTACCTGTGGCATTTGCGTCTTTTTTGTGAAGGCTGACGATCCTGCCCCTGATTTACCTTTGTAGATTTTTACATAGGAAACTTGTACATGTGTAATGTGGTATAGCTGCCTCACCCACAGAATTGTTCAGTTAACTTTTAGCACAAGTGAAATTGTGGTTTGCTCTGAGACTATCATAGCATGAAGTGACACCCAGTTTCAATGTGGTAAGCCACATTTCCTTACTATACTAACTTACTTTTGGTTTAAAGCCCATCTAGAGAAGTAGGAAGCCATAGTGTTAAAATTGGCAAGTCTCCATGCTGAAGAACATCTAATCAGAGGAAGAAAATAACTTAGGCAACAGAGGAAAATATGTGATGGGAGAGAGGTGATACGCCCTAATGTCTGGCATAGACTGATACACTGACTGTATATATGTGCACATACAGGCCCTGCATTTTCTCAAGCACTGATACCAAAGAGATGTCAGTTTGGTTGCCTGGAGCGATAGCTGTGTTTTGTCCTATTGACAACAGATCTGGGTGAAATGCCACTACTCTGTGTTAATAGTGCTTGTCTGTCTGGTTAGTTGGAAGAGCACTGATAATGGGAGGCAAGTTTAGGAAGGCTTTCTTTCCTTGGAAGTTGGCTTTCTTTCCTTGTAAGTTGACTTTCTCATGAGAGTGGGTTTGTTTTTTTTTTTTTTCCCCTCCTATCCATGTTTAGATGTAGCATGTTTTCTGCCTTTTTTTTTAATTGCTTATGTTGAGCCAAAGCTTCTCCATCTGTTTTGAGAGCTAGAACCACCAACTTAAGATGTTTGCACTTTAAAAAGATCAGCTCTACGAAGTTAAATCTTTATTTGGGAATTCTTACAGCAAAATGATCCAGTGGAGTATTCAGAAATGCAGTCCAAGGCAAGGAGCTAAGTACACAGAATGCAGTCTTAAAAGTAATCCCAAGAAATCAGTGGGTCCTCTTCAGTCCTCCTTTACTTTTTCAAAAAAATCAAGAGGAGGCAAGGAAAGCATCATTTGCCAATAAACTGAGGTGGTCGTTTCTCCTTGAAGGCAGCCATCCCTTCCTGACGGTCTCTTGTGGGAATATTCTACATTGGAAGAAAAAAAAGGTATATTTTTCATTGATAAGTCTGTGTTTTTAACTACTGACTAAGATTGCTTTTCCTTCAATGATACATTAAGTCCCACCTTCCACATTTTGCAGTTACGAAAATAAAGAGACTGGATTGTGGTGTAAATTGCAACCAGAGCATCTGAGACAAAGACCAGAGAACTATACAGGAAAACAGCTTTCCAGAAATTTAATACTTTACTATCTTGACAGCAATTACATTGTTCCGTTAGCTGAGAAGGGTGCATGTTCTCTATCTTGTCAAAGAATGACTACAGGAGGAATCTGTGTTTTAATTTAAAACTCAAACCATTCATAAAGCTCATCCTATAATTAACATATTGCTGAAACTAAACTAAGACTATGCAACTACTTTAGACAGAAGGGTATTTAAGGAAGGCTGAGAGGCAGCTATACATGACACAACAATTAATATTTTGAAAGAGGTACGTGGAACTGCACTCAAGTATGTTCTCAAAGCTTTAGATTTAGCTGTTAGCATTCCCTTATAGAGAGGAAAATGTAAGAGGATGCTGTGAATACCTGGCTTTAGAAAATTGTACAGTTATTCTTTAAGGAATGAAGGTAACCTACCTGGGCGTAACACATCCCCTCAATAGCCATCCCTGATGCAATGTCAACCTGGGGATGAGAGGGAAGGTGTGAGATTTGTCTGCAGTATAGCCCTTGAATCAATAAACATTCATTTGTAGTGAGTGACCTTCAATCCTCTGTGAGAACTAGTGTTAGTGTCTGTAGAAAAAAATATCTTGCCATATTAATTTTGTCTTTAAGGAAAATCTTTAAAACCCCTGAAATGGTTTTAAATGCCTTGTCTAAACAAGGATTATAACTCATCTGTTCTAAACATTTTTACTGTATTAATTTGTAAGAGCTGCCTGTCTGCTTCATTTACCTCAGTATTTAAAAAAAAAAAAACAAAACCAACAAAAATGTTACCTCCATTCCTCTGTTTATTGCCAGTTTTCCCATTTTCACAGCAAATGGAGCCTTTATTACAAAAAGAAAAAACAACAAACATTTAGAAATAATTAAAGCCACATCAGTTCATATTAGTGTAGTTATATCATTATCCTAGCTCCAAATGACCTTTCAGGCTATAGAAATTTGCATTAAGTTAGTAAGTATTTTTAAAAAACAATTTGGCATTATCTAGAGTTAATAGATGTATACAGTGCAGGGTTTCAGTGTGTCCTCAGGTCTGCATAACCACAACTGGGAGGTGAAACTGTCCTGTAGGTTAAGCAGCTGGATGTTAACACTTGTTCCTGCAGAAACTGCCTTCGCAAAAAAGGACAGAGTTAAGAAGCTTAAACATCAGGAAGCAAGACTTTAATATTTCATAGAAAGGAATCTCAACTGTTTGCTTCCTCTTAAGAAAAAGCAGAAATGTCTTCTTTACATTGACCACGTGAACCTTACCTGAGGAAGGATTTCTTTAGCCAAAATTAATGCTCTCTGGTAAGCTGCATCTCCCTCGCTGTTTTGTGGCACTGTGTGATTTACTAATCCCATGGAGGCAGCTTGTTGCCCATCAACCTGTCTACCAGTGAAAATCAGTTCCTTCGCAAGACCTATTCCAACACATCTGGGCAGGCGCTGGGTTCCACCTTATGACAACAGCAAAACCACCATTTTCATTTCTGAGAAATCCCAAGAAAACCCAATAGTATTTTGTCTCCTTATATAACAAGGAGGTTTGAAAAACAAAGGGATCATGTGTTTCTTTAATAACTACTAGCTGAGTATGTCAACATTTTGCAAGGCATCTGAAAGGTTTCAGCCTCCTTTTGAGTATTTTGATAAACAGGAAAAGGCATAAAGAGACTTTTCTAAATTCATAGCAAGTCAGACAGGGCTTGGAACAGAACTCAATTCATAGATCTCTTAGGTCACTGTAAGATGCTACTTTGAATTTACATTCAAAGCACTTCCAGTGCTCTAATGACAAAATATTTACTATTTTGTAATAGTAAAGAAAGTGATAGTAAAGTAATAGTAAAGAATAGTAAGAGAAAGTAAGAGAGTGAAGGTATAATGGAATGTCACCTGCTCCAGGAAGAAGCCCTCTTGTGGTCTCAATAAGGCCCATTTTAGCTGATGAAGCTATTAAAAATTAAATAGAGGGTTTAGTTATCTTTTGATCTCTGTAAGTACAAATTTTCCATACTGAACTGATTCATAAAACTACAAACTGTCAATACTGAACTGGAACTCATTTCTCCAGGTAGCTAGAACGTATGAATATTACAGTGCTTAATCAATGGTGCATCTCAAGTCAGATGAGGGATGTGTAGTATGGCTGCTTACCCCTAATGTAGCAATTTTATCTAGAAATGAACCTTGGGCCCATACTAGATGAAATGTAGCGGATGGAAGAATGAAAACAAAGAAGGAAGTCTTCCAGTCCAAACTGATTTAAATAGGGGTGGTTAGATCTAGCTAGAGTGCTGATCCAATACTACATGTTAATATTTAATTCTACTATTAAATAGTTTTCTTAAGAAATATTAATCTTGTCTAAAAATAGCCTTTAGTTTCTAAGCAAGGAAACTGCTTTCCCAATAGTAACTAAATGTCACAGTTTCAGGACAAATGCCTACTCATTTCCTGAACTATGTAAGTTTCTCTCTTAGCCTATTCATTTCCATTAACAGTCAACTATCATGCGTGTAAGTTCTCTTTAAAATATAGTCACAAGAACAATCCTATATTAAGCCACACACAAACCTGCTACTCGAAGGTCACAAGCTAATGCCAGTTCTAGTCCACCACCCAGTGCGTAGCCATCTATTGCAGCAATTGTGGGTACAGGCAGGGCAGCTAGAGAAGACAACATAGGTTATACAGTTTTGTTCCAGAAATTCTGTTCCACTCACTTCTGAAATTTAAATGCTTAAATTCTGGAGCTTTTAGTAGTTCTCGAATCCAAAATTGCTCAAGAATTCATTTTCTTCTCCCACAAACTTTCTGACTGTCTCTAAGCAGTTGAAACTGTCTTTTTGCACTTCTATCTTCTTTATAAGAATGCAAAACATTCTTCTGATATGCAAAGAAGCATGCAAATGCAAAGTACTCCAACACAAACCAGGATTATTTTTTTTTTAATTACTGCAATTCTGCTTGGAATTTCAGTTATATTTCACACTGGTATTCCTCTCTAGTGAGAGCAGAATAATTCACACATAGCGAAAGAAAATACATTTCAAAGTCCATGTTCCTTTTGCCAAAAAAAAAAAAAAAAAAAAGGGGGTGGGGAGCAGGGCGTGGGGGGAAGTTTTAAGTACAAACCCCCTGACATTCAACAAATCCATTTAGCAAATCCATTCAGAGATCCAAATCCACATTCTTAGGTCACTGCCATTTTTTTTAGATGTAGAATATTCTGAGCATGTATTCAAAGTGGGACAACAAACAGCTCATTTCATCCATCACTGTCTCCCAAGGATTGCATAGAACAGCATAGGAGGCTTTGTTATAGCAAGTGCTCATGAAATGTGTGTATGTGCTGCTTTTCATCATGGATAAGGCAGTACTGAAACGCACCTTGTCCCTGAAGTGGCAGCAGGATAGTTGGTATTTATTTCTAACCAGATCTTTGTTTCAGGCATAAGGTGGAGTCATTTGTGAAGCTACCTGTGAATGGATAATCTGCTGGGGCTAACAATCCTTCCCCTCCTTCAGCATTTCCAAATGTCTCAGTCTAGGCAGCCTAGGATAAATTTCCCAACTGAAATAATAATTTACCTATTTCATCCATGAGATTTCTCAGCCTTTTAACAAAGTGTCCAACTTCTGCATCATCCATTTTTGCACGTTCCTTTAAATCTGCACCTAAACAGAGGAGAAAAAGCTTAGAATCCAGGAACAGCGAAGAGACATCTGAACTGTGTTCCCTCCTGTCCCTCTCAGAGGACAGACCATTTCAGAAGTCCTGAAATACAGTGTTCTGGTTAAGTAAGGTCAGTTGAAGTTGGCGTGTGGACATTTGGGCTGGAGCACTGCTCTTCCATGCCCAGATTTCACACACACTGTATGTAAGCAGGATAATCCATAAAAGTGGAAACCAAAGACTCTAATACCAGAGGTACCTGTGCTTCAAGATAGTTATAAATGGAAAACAAATGGCAGCACCACGCAGCCTGTGTGGCTCACTCCATCACAGATCTTCATCACTGAAGCTGAGAGGCAGACAGGTGAAAGAAAAAACGTGTTTGTTCCTTGCTACACAAAAGCCAGACTGTTTTTCTTTTACCATGCATTTCCACCTGCTTTTCTGCATGATCTGACCAGCACACAGCCCTAAGAGCAATTACATTTTTAAACAATAGTTTGCAGAGCCTTGTTACTTACCAGCACAAAATACACCTTTCACCTCACTCTTGAACACCACCACACGAACCTTCTCATCAAAGCGGAGTTGTTCCAGAGCACTGAACAGCTATGAGGGAGTACACACAAGAGAAGAAAAACTTTTAGAATATGGATGTATTTTCCTAAATTATAGCAAGATCCTAATCTATGATAAAAGTTTCGGGTTTTTTTCCTGCAGGTGCCAGGACTTTCCTGGAAATCATATATGTGGAGCCAGCAGGATCCTTCCATGACAGCCTTAGAATGATAAGTTTCCCCATCTCTTCTTTATTTCCATTCAGAGATGAACCTTTGCTGTACCTTAAACTCCCTGTCCAGGCATGAGCCAGACTTTTTCTAGAATGTGTCAGCCTTGAAGAGATCACCTGCTAAGGTCTGACAATGAATATGTTTTTGTTGTAATTACACAAGTGAGGACATTAACTTGCATCTGAGTTAGCTAACTTAAATAGCTCCAGTATCTGTCCAATCCACATCTGAAGTTATTGCAGTATAGACATATCACGATCTCCTTTTCTTCAGGCTAACCTGCTTGCCCCAGTGCAGTCTCCCACTGACTTTCAGCAAGAGATTTAAGGTTTTGTTTCATTTTTCCCAGAATTATTGCATTTAGTTACTGATCATGATTCCAAACATGTTTACAGGCCAGGCCCATACTCACTTCATTTACAAATACTTTTCCCAATGAATTTCTCGCGTGGGGTCGGTTCATTAGGATTTCAGCAATACCTTAGTAATAGGAGACAATTTCAGTTATGCTTCATTTAATTCTCTGACACAGTAATTCAACTGGGAACAATATCTGCATATGCTGCATCTTCACTTTCCTGAAAATGCATATAAAGTAGATTCTAAAACAATTAGTTATTTTAAAAGTGGAAGTGGTAGACCATGTTTACGAAACCCAGTTACGCAGGACAACTGTAGAATTCAGTAGTACTGAGAATAATATAAATAGGCAGATTTAAAAAAAAATTAACATGACATCCAAGAATATATGTCTTAGAATCACTGCAGGAATGGAAAAAAACCCCAAACCCAAATGATGCATCTTAGGTTTCTGTTTTATTATTACTTAATTCAGTTTTTATTGTACAGTCTTACTGTGTTCAATTACATTCCTTAAGGAAGAAAACCATCCTCTTGGGATTGCTGTTTGCATGAGAATAGCACAACCTGGTCACTGTCAGTTCATGTTCCAGAACTGTTTTGAAACTGCAGCTCTATTCAATTTAAAGTTAATAAGCTCATTAGTGAAAAGGACTTCACTCCAAGTTTCTAAGTCCAAGCACAAAAATAAGACTACCACAACTACCTACTTCTTCTTTGCACTTGTATTCTGTAAATTATTATTCAATGGTTTCTGTATGCTTTGGAGAGAAAAAACCTCTCTCCTGTTTCCTTGGCTGGACTTCTGCTCACTTCCCAGGCCTTAACATTGGAAGATGCTGTTGCTGCTGCTGCTGTAGGTGCACACGTATGTCTGTCATGCTTGGTCCTTCTGTCTGTCTAGAAGGACTCTTGTTTTTCTGTCTTATTCCTCTGCCTATGCCAGTGGCCAGTTAGTAAACAAAAGCTGTGTCACATAGGAACAAAGACACAGGTAACAGCTGGCACCAGCAAACAATGGAAATTCACAGTTCTGGTATCTATATTAGTGTAACTAGCAAAACTACCAAGAACTGTTTATAAGCTCTTGCCATAGTTACTAGAAAGTAATTTCGTTGGCAATCTGAACCAAAACTCTAATTGCTTTGTGACTCTCATGCATAAACATGCACAGACGTGCCCTGGTCCTATCCTACCTTTGTCACCGTACGTTACTGATACCAGAAAAACCTAAGGTATGCAAACCAGAACTTCTTGTGTTGAGAACTCCTGCATATATACCTAAAAAAAAATTTTAAATGCACCTAGCTATTTATTCGGCAGCTGCCTTGAGAAAAGTATCAAGGCATCACTTAAACCAAAGCTATTATAAGGAACCTGCCCGCTGTGGACCCTGGGAGGCCGGCAGTCCCTCCTGGGCTACCGGAGCCTCAGAGCCCGGGACGGGTGGGCCACCCCGGGAGCTCCGTCCCGCGGGGCCGGTGCAGGATGACCGGACAGTGCCGTGGGGACAGCGCGAGTGTCTCCGGGGCCCCCAGAGGCGGCCTCCAGGGAGGGGCCGACAACACACGCGGCCCCAGGCGCGTCAGGCCGGGGCGGATGTGTTTTTACCAGGAATTAGTAAAACTGAGTAAATCGACACACCCCTCCCTACAGCACCAGAAAACCTGCTCCTGACACACGGTCAGTTCCACCGGCTCCTCGGAACGGGCGTTCAAGGAGCGCCGGGGCCTAACCCCGGCGGCCCCCCGCGGTTCCTCGCCTGCCCCGGGCGTGCGGGCGGCGGCCGCCGCACTCAC